ATATATATATATATATATATATATATATATATCATTTATATATTTATATATATATCGGATCTATACTTTATATTCATATGTTCTCTACAAAATACATATCTCCGTATTTCTAAATGTACGCTCGGACAAGTGATGTGGAATTTGTCTTCTGAGAGGAAAGCGCGAGACGTTGCGAAACGTAATAAATGAGGGAGGTCAATGAGAAGAAACGCGCTCACGCGCCTCGATGAGTTTCCACGTAGTCGATGACGCACCGCTACGACCTGTCGAAATAACGCGGAAAGAGGGTTATGCATTACACAACGGTACATTCTCACCCTCTCGGCACGAGAGAGAGAGAGAGAGAGAGAAGGGAAGAGAGAGGTATCGCGGAAGTTTGTCCGGACATCGTTTCAGTGACACCGTGTATACCGACAACATGTGACATCTTACATGGACTGTTACGGGCCAGTGACGGTGCATTATCTCCCCCATTACCCGATGTCCGGGTTAGGCGAACCTCCAATATCACGTATACTATTGCAACATTCGCATTCAGCGAACCATCGAGTGGTGAGCACGCGAAATAATTTAGTTCGGCGAGCACACACAATCGATCGATGACCATGTCCTGGCAGAGATCGGGGTCGGCCAGGTGGGCTCGCGAGCGCACATTGCGCTGGCGGACGATAAAAGAAGCAGTAAATAAGTAGCATTAACCGCAAGGAGAACCGCTCGCGCGAGCAGCGGCCGCGCCTGATGCAAAATGCAGCTTAGATTTGATCGCGTCGCTAACGCAATGATATTAGCGCCGCGCTCTCTCGTGCCTCCCTCCCTCCGCTCTTCCGTGTGAAATATCCGCCTTCCAATTTTTTCACTCCCGTCGCGCACGCGCGCACGTGAATGTACAAAATAATTCTTTGGATTATCGCCGCGCTCAATAATGAGTGAAGGAAAGCTGACATGTGAGAACTGCAAAACACCATAACGGTATTGCATTAACGCGTGTTATGCGCGCGTGAAAACCGCGTATTCCAATGATTGCATTACTACGACAGCATCCGTAATTTTATAATGTTATTTACGATATAAACGTGACTATAAAGTATTATAAGAAATTTCCTTTTTATTATCCTCATTTACATTAACTTTTTCTGTTTCTCCCTCTCTCTCTCTCTCTCTCTCTCTTTTCCTTCCTAACACATATATGTTGTTTCGATATTCCTATTATACACCCCATTTTTTCCGATATACTCCAGTTTGCAGTCTTTAAAAGGCTTTATCCCCGATTCCGGGGATAAAAGAGGAAGACGTTGTTTATTTAAGCATTCGCCTTAATTGCCTTTCCAAACTACGCGTAATGATGTTCTATATTATAAATAAAAGGAACATCCCGGAAAGGAGGAATAAATTGTCTCGTTCGACTTCCTCTGTTTAACGGAGGAAAGCGAGAGACATTGCACGGCCAGCTAATTGCCCGTCTCCCGTTTTAGATACTTCGAAAATTCGGTTGCGGCACGACCGCCGGTTGCTACGTGCTATTTCAGGCGAAATATTCTATTAACGCTATTAACTGAAAACATTCATGTAGAAGTCATAGACGCTCCCCTTTTCCAGCCGTCATGATATCCGTTTTCGTAATACGTTTTCCGCAAAGTGGAATGGCAGCGCGTCAAATGAATTTTCGTCTTTCGTATTCCGCGTGCCCTCTCTCTCTCTCTCTCTCTCTCTCTCTCTCTCGTTAACGGCGAAGAGTCACGACGATTGTCGATATATTTATTTTCTACCCATCCCTCTGTTTTCCGCGAATGATTGAAATGAGAAATTATGAAACGAGATGCTGGACAACACACGACGAAACATTTCAAAATATTCAGAAAAGCACATTCGTAAATCGTCGTTCTTTCGCGAGATGTCTTTTATTTTATATTTCCTCCTCGCCAACGCGTCCGTGCAACTGGCTGCTTTAATGCTGCGCACCAGACACGTCATCTCTACGGTTTTAACAATTTTCCTGCTGAAACAATTTTTCCTGGAGAGCATTGCGATGCGTCATTATATAGAGGCGATTTAATCGAGTTAGCCCAAGGATTATATAAGGAGGTGCAAAATGTTCCTTTTATAAACATAGGTACTCTGTGTTCTAGAATAAACACTTTGCAACACCTTCTCCACTATTTCTTTCACGATAAATACGTAAACAAAATAGCCAACACGAGCTTTGGGCCAATTTAATCTAGTTTTCCCTACTTTGTCGGAGGAGCGCGAAACATGTTGAATACCAAAATTGGAATGAAGGGGTTAAGTGACACGATATCTTCCGCAATCCTGCTATCTCGTTGTCGATTCGCGCTGATAGGACGATATAGAGGAGGCCGAATCAAGTTGGATCATACAAGGAAGCGCAAAAAGCGCTCATTTTAGACAGATATTTTTTCCATATTCCAAAAGGGGCATTTTGTAACACCTTTCCCAATATTTTTCTCAAGATAAGTATGTAAATGAAATGCGTGGCCAACATAAGTGTTAGACCAATTTAATCCGGTTTCCCTTATTTTATCGGAGGAGCATAAAGAATGTTGAATGCTAAAATTGCGACGAAGGGATTGAACGACACAATATCTTCCATAATCCCGCTATCTCGTATCGATTCACGCCGATCGGTAAGTATAGGGGAGGTCGGATCAAATTGGCCTAAGGAATATATAAGGAAGTGCAATGTTCCTTTAAGATATAGCTATTGCTCCTACGTTCTAAAAGAAACACTGCAATATCTTTCCCACATAGAAAAAAAGTGTTAGATTCAAGTAAATAATTACTTTAATACTTTTTAATAAATTTTTACTTGGATTAAAGTACATTTTATTTGGATCAAGTACATAGAGTAAAAAATGTTGCCTTCAGATTTGTGTTTAAATTTTTGCATTAAATTTTTCACATATCTGTGTATTAATTTAACATATTGTGTTTATATTATCTAAACATTTTGTGTTGTATCGATATTCAATTCATGTAAATGTTAAAATAACAAATTTTATATTTCAGTCTCTGATGGTTTCGATTGTTAATTTTGTGTTAATTTTTCACGTAATATTTATGTTATTTTTCAACATATTCACCCTGTGTTAAATTAACGCAAAACTTGAGTAGATCACTTGGGACATGTGAAATATGTTAAACACAAAATTGTTTACTGTGTAAATATCACTTGATCCAAGTAAAAATTCGCTAAGAAGTATTGGAGTAATCAATTACTTGAATTAATTACTAGCAACTTTTCTACTATACGTTATTTCTCTCACGATAAATACGCAAACGAAACGCGTGGCTAACAGGAGCCTTGAGTCAATTTAATCCGGTTTCCCCTACTTTGTCGGAGGGGCGCGCAGAATGTCCAAATTGGGATGAAGAGGTTTAAACGACACAGTATCTTCCGTAATCCGGTTATCTCGTTGTCGGTTCACATCGATCGGTCGATCAATGCGAGCGGTTTTATCAGTCGCAGTTTCGGGACAATTTTATCGCTTGTCTGCAAGAAACGACCTAGATGGTGATCTTAACGTCGAACTTATTCTCTCTCTCTCTATCTCTTTCTTCACGTTAGTGGTGGACTGCGCGGTGAGCGAATGGAGTCTGTGGAGCCCGTGCGATAACGGATGCGGAAGTGGCACTCAAAAGCGCAGCCGGGTGATCGAGATCTCAGAAAAGAACGGCGGGAAGCACTGTCCTCGCTTGGACCAGGTCAGGACGTGCCGTAGTTTCCAGACATGCCACGCTGGAATTCGTCCGCAGCCGCACGCTAAAAGTGAGTGCCGATCGATTTCGGAGATGAGCGATAAGGGACCGAGGATTTCTATTTGAACGATATTCCCGGAACGGAGGGAATTAATTTTTTTCCTCTTTTCATTTCATACTTTTCGTCTCTCCTTTTCTCTCGTGAGAGTTTATCGAGATCACCTCCTCGTGTGCGAAACGAAGCGAACTCGTATCGCATAATTTGCTTCGACTTCGTTGCGTTCTTCACTGTTATTCCATCAGAAGCTGATCATCTTCTAAACGATAATCACGATGATTCGCGCGATCTGACTAAGTTAAATTTAAATAAATCTCAGTAAAAGAAGATCGACAGGTGGTGGCTAATTACTAAGTTAAATTTCCATAAAAGTACAAATTACTTACCCTTCGTTCTTATTCTTCCGAAAGCTTTTCTGCCTTTCCCGAGGAAATATATTTCTGATCGCTTCCAAGCGGTACTCCGCCATTATACGGTGAATTTCGGACCGCGCGCAATTTACTTATAAACAAGTTTATCGCAATGTCTCGACGTCTGCTGACGATTCCTCGAGCCTAGGCGAACTCTTTTTTCATTTGCCGCAGGTGTGACGCTTCTTGCACTTTTTCCGGGCGACGGAAACAGTACGGACGTGAGGATCAAGGATAGGATCGTCGATAAAAGGTAGGTCAAATTCCCCTCCGCCCGCGCTCAGCTTCGGCTCGCGAAATGCGATTTGCCGCACGTGTTCCCAATTCGTACGGCGAGAGCAATGCCGTTTTTGTTCTGTCGATCGGCGCGGCATGAAAATAGATAAAACGCACGGTCGGATTCACGTGAAAATTGAAGTGTAAAATGTTTGCCTTACGACGCGCGACCGGATGATATCGTTGACGTTTATAGCACCGTCGTCTATTTTCTCCGTTCTCTGTTCCAATTAGACGGTTAACGCGATGAGACGAATCTTAGCGGCCCCCTGTCGAGAAGCATAATACGTTCAACTTGTAACGCATTTATCCTATATTTCGCGCGCGACGAAGTTACGCGATTGTGATTTCCAATCGCATTTTGCGCATCATCGATGGCGCGAGACATTCGCACGTAGTCGCTGATTAGTCGGCGCCCTTAATTCTCTAAGTTCGTTACCTTCGAGCGATCGCTCCTCGGGCTTTAATTCCGGTAAAAGGTTCCCTCCACCCGGCGCCCGGTGCTTTATTGAGAGACGGCCGATTTTTCATCCTAAACTAAACGCCGAAGACAGAATCGTCAATGCGTCGCGGATCTGACTTGACGCGCGTTCCAACCTGTGTTACAAAACACTGTAGTGCCAACATCATATCAGAGGATCGAAATTCCCCTGTGATATTGTCAAGTTAGTAAAGATGGTTACAGAACTAGCAGCGAGCAACGGTGCCCTTTGGGGTACCATCATAAAACGCATGCATTGTGTGGTAGCTAAGAAGAAAACGCGACGCCCTTCTCCGGTTTTAGATTCACAATCTTCGTTACATAAAGATGATATTATATGGACGTTTTAGCGACAGCTGCGTCGCCTTTACCATTGTGCGGGTTTCGAGGGCTTGCAGCAGGATCTCGGATTTGCTCTCGGAAGGTTAGTACAAATAATAACGAAACGTACGCTCGTGCGCGCACGCTCGCGCTCGCTGCGACAGCCGATCCCCCGAGATTTTAACCGAGATATACACGGGAGTTCTACTTATAACAGAGGATATCATTTTTTACAATATTCAGGTCATACACCCNCCCCCCCTCCCTATCACGATATTCGGGAGTATTCGGAAATACGCACGGGATGTTTCATTAATCGCACACTTTCTCCCGTCTCCGTATTTGTTTGCGACGCAGAGTTGAAAGTTAAATTGGTATAGAAAATTTTATTTATAACTTAAGTATTATGTTTTTTTTTCACTTTACAGTATTAGATTTTCATCTACTCCGTTGTGCTTCGTGAATTATACCACCGTGTTTATTTATTTACTACTGAAAAGTGAGGCGTAATTGTGAGACGTATACGTTGAATTGCAAAAAGAATGTCTATAATTTTCAATATCGCACATAGAAAAGAAGGTTTCTTCGGATTTGATATACATGTTTGTTTGATTTGGGTTTGTTTGATGTAAACAGCATAATTTAATATCAAATATCATTTTGTTTAAATGAAAATGTTATTTCATTAGAATAAAGTACCGTGTAGTTTGATAGATAAAATAGCATTATTTAAGGCAAGTAATATTTCGTTCAATGAAATAAATTTATTTCATTATATATTAAATATTATTCCATCGAATATGAGAAATACAAAAGTAAGTTCTTTAATATTTCTCTAATACAGTTACTTTTTTCAAATAATTTATTGCTTGTGATAATCAATATAATATTTGGATGAAAATACAAAGAAAATCTGTTATTTGACATAAAAGTATTTATTGTTTGTTTGAAAAACCAAACAATCCTATTTATTGAATCAAATATTCGGTCATTTTTTCTGTTCCAAAAGACAAATTTGTTTTAATTAAAGAAATTCTGTTACATCCAAAAAAATCTTTTTCTCTGTGTAAAATTCTATGTCGATCCTTCCGAGGCTCGCGCAGAAATCGGAAGCTATGAGATCGCGGTTCTCCCGCATCGAAAATTATTAACGGTCAGATGTTTAATAAAACAACGGAGCTGAAAACGAAGTCTACATCGACATTGCGGAAGGAGGAAAGCGACGGCGGATATTCCGCATAACGCGCTCGGCCGTTCTTTTCGCGGTTAAGTCCTCGTTCAAGTTTTTGTTAAACCATAACGCCTCGAAGAGACAATAGACTTCTGTCTTACAAAAAGCGGCTCGCATCCGTACTGCGGGATATAAAACTCGGGATTATGTCCCGAGCGAAAAATTATCGCGCCCGCGCGAAAGTCTGTTCTTAACAGTTCTGACATTATGACAAAAGCAAGATCTCCCGGTTCGCATGTCTCCCGAGAGTTTGGAACTTTCAATATCAATTTTAAGTTTCGGATATCCTCATTTATATCGCGTGAGACACGACAAAATTGCGAAAGTCTGCACGTCCGTACATGTATATATACATTATATATTTAGTTATACACACGTTTGTACACATTAATAAATGCATATATTGTTAATACGTGATATGCATTTAGATTGTATCAATATATTAATATAATCCGTAATTACGTTTTACGAAAACAGAATGTTTCATTACGAACGCACCTGCCTGGAGTGCATCGACCGATTTAGAGACGTGAAATAAACGGGAAGTCAATTGTTTATGCATGCTCGATTTCCGCCGCTCGCGTAATCGGCGCAAATCTTTTTCAAACGTCCGCCTGAGAAGGATGCGCGGCTATTCTTACACTTAAAGTCACGTAATTAGATCGGGCTCTTAAGCGAACTGAAACTTCCGAAAATCTGGATACGAATTTCGCATAATAATTAATCGCTGGCTCCACCAGTGTGGAAATGAAGCGACTCGATCTAGTCTCAATTAACGTGCGCGGCGACTGCACGACATAACGTCATGTAAATTAGAGCGTAGCTTCCGCGACGCTCTACGACGGCTGTTATCGCGGAAGGAATCGACCGGATGAAGTGGATGCAGTGGTGGAGATAACGGTTGTTTCCTACCGGGCGTAGCTTACACAGATAAACCGCGAACGCACGGAAATCTGCGGACAAAAGCAAGTTACTTTGATGACTAACTTATTATCTCCAGGCCGCTGCTAATTCGGCCGTCACGGTGTTGCTTCATTCTGTACACTTCAAGACCCTTGGTCACTTTGCTTCTTTCGTTATAATTATTAGTGTACGACAAACGAATTTAGATGGAAATTAGAAATTCGATTGAACTTCGCTCTCCTTTTTCTAAATAAAAGTAAAGTGGGAAACTGAAAAGAATACAGTTTGATGTGAATTACATTTACGGACGTAAACCTTTTAACTACTCTCACTCGTAAACTTTTACACACTATCGGCATATATACACACAGAAAGAAAGTGATAGAATCAAGTATTACGTAATTACCTGTTTTTCAGTCTGTTAAATCAAGTAATATTTTTATTAATTTAAATATATTTTAATAGCTTGTACTAAATACTTGAACGTAGTAATATCTTAATTTGTAAATGAATTACTGAATGTAAATGTAAAACGGTTCTAAATTTAAGAGAATATTTATATAGAATTATATAATTCTCCTTTTCCATTGGGGAAACTTTTTGGTTTTAAATATTTCGATTCAATAAATATTTTCTAAAAATAAATTATGATATTCTTAATATATTTTAACACATTTTTAACACATACAAATAAATATTTATTTATACGAAGGAAATATCTACAGGTACCATGTCATATATAGTCAATTATATTTCTATTTTTAATCAATATTTCCCAAGGAGTATTGGAGTAACAATTTTACTTGGATCAAGTAAATATTACTGAAACGCAATACTTTTTTCTCAGCATACGAAAATATACAATGTCGCTTGAGATTCGGAATCTTATCGGCCCCTTTTGCACCACGAAATTAATCGCATATTCATGATCCCTTGTCATCTGTTATATTTCTATTATATTTCGCACGAAATTACGTGGATATTCGATTAGAGGAATTGTAATAGGAAAGTCTCTCGACTGACTGTCAAATTCACACGTAGACGCAATGACGTAGCAGTGATATAGGGCGATTTGTTTGCACACAAGGGCGGGATAAAAACGTGAAACCCGGAACCGTAGCCGATCGATCGCCGGGGCGGCGCAGCAGCGTGCATAATTAAAACTACACGCCGTTGAACATGAAAGCGAGAATGTAATACAGCGGAAGTCGTCGCAGGTTCGCGAATCTGCGTGGAGCGTCCCGGGCGGAACGAGAGCCTGGACAGATACGTGGGAATCGGTAGGTGGAAGTTGTCGACCAACATTGCCGGCAACGGTCGGCGCGGCCCGCGATCAACCAATTCGACCTGCCACGGCAAGTGGATCGGCGATTCGCGGCTTCTGGTGGATTGTCACGATCCACGATGCAAGCAGCCGAGCTGGCAGTCGCCACCGCACACCTCGCAGTTGTTCCGTGGCCGAAGTCGCAGGGGTGCGAGCACGATCGTCGGCAACGAGGCGGCCGACGGGGCGTCGAGGGACAGGCTCGTGAGAAGACGAAGGAGAGGCAGACGACGGAAGAGGAGCCGGAGAAGAAGACGCGCCGCCGTCGCGGAACGGTGAACGTTTCCCGCAACTGTCGCGGCTCATACCAGCAACGTCATCCGCGTTAGGATCTCTCCTGTCCGCCCCTTCTCTTCTCTCTGTCCTCACGTCTGTTGTTACACAGGGTATATCGTAACACCGGGTCCGCTTCGGGGGTGGAATTCTCCCTCGAGGAGCTCGGAGCCGGCTTACCCCGCGGCAAGAATGTCGCGGCGTCGATCTCGAATTACAGGCGCGAGCGGAGAGCGAGCAAAGCTCTTGACGAATTAAGCGCCGACGGTAACGACGACAAACAGACAGCGAGAGCTCGTTACCCCGTTTAAGTTCGAGCGAGCGTTGTTTAAACAGAGTTTTCCTACAAGGCCTGCTTTCAGCGATCTATTTTTTCGCTCGTCGGAGCTCGAACGGTCATGAAAAGGCAGCACCGGCTGCCCCGGTCAGTTCCGTCGGGAAGGAAAATCGCCACCGAATCGAAACTCCCCCGCCTTCTTCGGAGAATCCCGCGTATTATGATATACCTTGCATATTTAATCTGCATCTAGTATGCATATTTAATCTGCATCTGCGTCATTCACACGCCGTGTACGTTTCACCTGTCGCGTTTAATTCTTTCTTGCATCATATATTTCGCAAGTGATTTTCATCACCGAGAGCTCTTGGTCGCTTAGTTATGTTCTATGCGAACCGTTCTCGCGTTAAGCGTTTCGTGAAGGCAGAAACTTCAGAAAGCGTTACATAAAATCTACTCTATTCTCTTTATCTCCCCTTTTCTCCTCCTCCTACCGCTCCAGTTGAATGTAGCAATCGTACGGAGCCGTTGCCTAGATTATCCCGATAATTATCATATCGATTTTATCATTAGCGCAGGCTCGCGCGAGGCGTCTCACCGGGACGACGGTGAGCTTTCTTATTCCCTCGGCGCTCTGGCGGGAATCGCAAGGTAATCGATATCAGAGACGTTAGGCTTATGATTTACGTTGCGGTTGCGGATTTAATAAATCATTTCATCATCGAGACAATACCGCCTGCAGATAAGGTCGCCGGAAGAGCGTGGATGCGCGATAAGTTGCGTTTATTTATTGTTTCCCTGAATTTATCATCTGCCCCTCCCCCGATCTCCGAATTTCACCTAATAATATAAAGTACATGCGTTATCGCATAGGTGAAATATATATATATATATATATATATATATATATATCCGTAGAGAGCGAGTAAAGAAAAGAAGAATTTTGTCATTAGTAATCACACAAATAATTGTATTTTATTAATAATGTGACTATCATAATATCTTCCATAAGAGAAAAAACAAATATATATATATATATAAGGAAATATTATGCTTTGCAACATTTTTCTGCGTTTTTACATTGCTGCTATAAAAATTCTTCCATATATACAGGATGCGGAACGTCCCAGAATCAATGACGTTTGTTTATACTTCAAAAGCTATTAGCATTTCAATATTGAAGTGAAAAATGCATTTATCGTTTCACTGGTAGATTCCAATATTTGAGGTTTTTAACCACGTCTATAATAACATTAATTTTATAACAGCCTGTATATTTCGAAGACGTTTCTTTATATCCCGAAGTATCGCATTCGTTACAAAACATATCGAGCGATATATTGAATTTTCCGCGAGCAGCCTCATTTTAGAGAGTATTCAGTGTTCTGCGAATGAACACGCTGGAATATTATCATTTCTCTTCATGAGAACATATCGGCGTGCCGAGAGCGCGGAGACTCTCGAAGCGAGATGAACAAAATGTAAAAGCACAGTCAATAAAGGGCACATGCACGTATCTGGATTTCAGCGCGTAATTACGTTCAAGATCAATATAAATCTACCTTTTCCCGATCCACTTATCGAGAATCTTTCTCCAATTTAATAAATAACAAACTTTCTGTGCGTGGACGATTGCATTTCTACTTCCAGTTTGACCGAGGTTTATCAATCAGTCTCATCAGTTTCTATCAACTTTGGACACTAGATATAGATATATAGATGCATGTGTGCACACAAAGTGTTATTTTCGACATCATTATTAGCTACTGGGAACAATCAGAAGTTCAATTAACATTAGAGGCTGATTAATAATTGAGCCCAATTAAATTACGCTGCATTGAGTGATCATATGCCGATAAACATTATAATCGCCATAGATCGCGGATTATTATATCCGTAGTGCATCATGTATAAGCAATAACGTATTTAATATCCGGACATAAATAATTGGCGCATCACGATTCGTGTCATAATTCAATTACAAATGTCACGTGCGCGTCACGTCAATATATTAATGACCCACATCAAGCGTGCGCTTATACCGCAATATACGAACGTGCTTGTATCAATATTTCTTTACCCTCCTCATGCTCCGAAACATAATTGATACCTCGAAGGGGTCAAGTGTCAAATTATCTCGTCGGCTAAAATGACGGAAATAACATCGGCGTTGTTTTCGATCTCTCATTCATCGTGATCGCGGGACTAATCGCGATTCACTTGAAAAACAGGAAAAGACTCGTCCGCGGTTTAGTTGTTTTCATTCTTCTCGACTGTGTGTTTGCTGCAAGCGAGGACTGACCTGTATTTCCTGGGCGGATCTTGCGGTCGCTCGAAGGCGTCGATCCGGCGTTTATCCGGCTGCAAACCGCCGTATCCTTCGCGATTCTACTATAAATGCGGCATTGACGCATCCAGTTGGACACATAAGCTCGTCGTGCGTTGTTCCAGTAACAACATTTGCGCGATCCTGACTCTCACTTTCCAGCGTTCTTCGCGAAATCGCGGTTCTCTCGCTCTACCGATTTAGTGCACGCATAAGTTGACACAATCGAGATGGCGGGGAACGACAAATCGGGTATCCTGTACCTGTTCGATCGGCCTGCGGAACCGGTGTACGTGCCCAAGGGAGAAAAGAAAGTCGCTTTCGATATACCAGCCGACTACTTGGTGAGTTCAATCTTGTTCATGCGACGTACTAACGTTCTTATTGCCTACCGACATTGAATTTCATGACATCACTTCGACGTTCCATAATTGACTCGAGACTTGAAATCTCTTTCGGCCCCGTATATCAAGACGCACAAATTGTGTCCCCAGTTTATATAATAGTATTGCAAAGTCCGATCAAATCGGTGGTGGTTAGTGGAAAAATATAAAGAGAGAAATTGCAAGTAAAATATCGCTCAACTACTATACTGTGTAGTGGGTTCTAAATTTATAATTAATATTTCTACAAGATGGAAGAATTTCTCATGATTTCTTCATCTTTGTTTCGAAACTTAAGAATCTTAAGATAAGACGGAAGACATATTTATTTCAAGATAAAACGTAACAATTTATCAAAACGCCGAACGATAACGATTCTAAAAATTCAAGATGCAGTTGTTATTTTTCGGTTATCAACTCTATTGCGAATGGATCGCTGAGTGTAAACTTTGTCACTTTGACAAATTCGCAGCCTGAAAATCGACAACCGGCGGCTCCCGAGGTATTGAACCGTTTCGCGGATGACACCGAGCGGAAAATCCCGGTGAAGCAGATTAGTCTGCCGGACTTGAGCGTTCCCCTTCAACTTGGACGTCGAGAACCTTTCTCTCTGTTCATCCCGAAACATCGGAAATTAGCCGCACGGCTCATCGATATCTTCCTGGGTTTGTTGCCGACTTGTTTCTAACATCGCATATTTTATTCACGCATTTCAATTGCTATCGCATTAAGTAAATCAGTTAATCGCATTTTTGCCGAAACACATATATTGAGTCAGTCTAAAAATTCAACTTAACTCTCGAGTCAAATTTGATTTTATCAAAATTCGATAAAAGCAAATATCTCAACGATCAAGTAATCACCGTTGTCTATGACCCTTCATGAATGTGTAATATATGAACATTGTTAACATTGTTGCACGTATATGACGGAATCTATGGAAAATCGAAGGGAATTTTTTATTGACCCAATACTTATCGGGCAATGAATTTCCTTCCTGCATGAGGAATTCCGAGCAGATTATCCGTAGCGCGTTGAAAATGTCGGGGTTTCCTTCCACGGACCCGATTAACCGGATACTCTTGATTGATCGGCTATTAATTCGTGTTACAGGTATGCGAACGTACGAGGATTTCCTTTCGGTGTCGGTTTACTGTCGCGACCGCGTTAATCCCCAAATGTTCATCTACGCGCTCTCGGTGGCGATCCTGCATCGTCCCGATACCAAAAATCTGCCGATACCACCGCTGACGGAAGTTTTCCCAGACAAGTACATCGACAGCGGGGTATTTGCCAGAGCGAGAGAGGAGGCTAACGTTGCACCGGCTGGCTCCAGGGTATTTGCTCGTCGACGCATTAATTACTAGCAAGCTCGTTACTCGATTATGAGGCTTAATTAACCATTCGCTTATTCTTTGAATAATAGTCGAATGAGCGCGACATAAACTACCAAACTTGGCAGAAAGCCGAGAGTAAAGTACAGTAGAGAGAGAGAGAGAGAGAGAGAGAGAGAGAAAGAAAGAGAGAAAAAGGAAGGAACATCGAAATAAAAAGGAGGTTCTTTTAACATCGTGTCAGGAAAACCGCGCGAGATGACGATGGAGCGACTGTTTCGTATCCTTTGACAGACCACAGTGAAAATTTTAGCAGCAGCGCGCACAATGTCGCAACGTATAGCTAAATATGTTTAGAAATTTGACCGCAATTTTCCGAAATTTACATATTTCAGATCGCGTTATTGCATTTGTATAGTATTTCAACAATGTTCAGTGTACTAACCGTCCCTGAACGGGAAAATTACGCAGAATAAATAGTTCTAACGCGATAAATTTGAAAAGTAGCCTCTCCGGCCGGTTAACGAGAGCCGCGGATTTAGCAGTGTTACCGCGTGTGTGAAGAACCAACAATTTTAATACGTTATTAATTTTCAGCAGAGAGAAAAATTTCCACCATTATATCGCGTAATCTTTGTTGCAGCTGCCGATCGAAATTCCACGGGATTACACCGCGTCGGATCTCGACGAGGAGCATCGTGTGGCATATTGGAGAGAAGATATCGGGCTCAATCTTCATCACTGGCACTGGCATCTGGTCTATCCATTCGAGACCGACATCAGGATTGTTAACAAGGATCGGCGTGGCGAGCTGTTCTACTATATGCACCACCAGATTCAAGCCAGGTAAGTGCGGCGCGAACGCTCAGTAAGTCGATAAGATTGGATGCCTTATTCTACCGGCTCGGGAACGCGCGAGCCGCTATCGGCGATCGGATCAAATTCTGATCTCGATCGTTATTATCGCGCTTGCTTGCGTTTGCACGCGAAAACTCTCTCTCTCTCTCTCTCTCTCTCTCGTCTCAATCCCGTATAGTATTCCAACAATGTTCGGCGCTTGCTAACGAACTCCCAAATGCATTTGCGCGTAGAATAATGCAACAAATCGTTATTACGTGGTAAATTTTTGACAAAGAACAGAAAGGGCGACAATGTGAATTTAAATGCTCGTTATAAACCGTAAAGCACACGTGCAAAAGTAAACAGGTAAATATCTTATCGAACAAACATTTGCGAAGGGACATCGTACGAAATAACCATCGAGCTTCCCGAGTAACATCGGGTTTCTCCATCGCTCAAGATTGATATTAACAGCAGACACACCGGTGAAACCGGTTATTCGTTGTTTAGAATAAGTTTTCCAATAAATGCTCACTCATCGCTCGAGCTAGTTTTTTATCGTTTTACGTAACACTCCTATCGTCATCGATCTGTATTGGCGAACGACCGAACACATACGGGATATCGCCTGAGGGCACAACAGATGGGAATTTCCGAAGCCCCTGAGTTATTATCCGCGCGTAGTTCCGCTTGACTTCTCTTTTCTCATAGATACAATATCGAGCGTCTGTGCAACCGATTGGGTCGGGTGAAGCGCTTCCACAATTGGCGCGAGCCGATCCCGGAGGGTTACTTCCCCAAGTTGGATTCTTTGGTGGCCAGTCGCACTTGGCCCGCCCGTCCCGCCGGCGCCGTTCTCAAGGATATTAACCGGCCGGTGGATCAACTGAATTTCGACCTGCAAGACCTGGAAAGATGGCGCGATCGTATCTACGAGGCTATTCACACCGGTTCCATCATCAACCCCCGCGGCGAGAGAATACCTTTGACCGAGTTCGGAGGTGTGGACGTACTCGGTAACCTCATGGAGGCCAGCATCCTGTCGCCCAATCCCAATGTCTACGGGGACCTTCATAATCTCGGCCACGTCGCCATCTCCTACTGTCACGACCCCGACCATCGTTACTTGGTAATGTATCGCGCGTGCAATCACCGTCGTCACAATCACGTCCGGGAAACTCTCTGATTCCGAACGTCAGCGTGGAATTGACAACTTAACTGTCCGGGAGATTCGATTAATCCTTGCAAGGAAGGGTACACGATAAAAGAATTTTATGTTAAATTTAACATATCCCGAACGGTCTATACAAATTTGTGTGTTAATTTAACACGTGACGAACCCCATTCTGCTACTGCACTTTTGTTTACGAAGGTTAAAACCATCTTCTTTTTTGACACTTAGTATCTCTGTCCGGAGAAAAGCGCACAAAATGTTTTCCGCATCGGTAAAATTAACATGAACCATTAGATTACATTCGCGATATTTTCGCATCTTTGCAGGAAACTTTCGGCATCATGGGAGAGCCAGCCACCGCTATGAGAGATCCCATCTTCTACAGATATCACGCTTTCGTCGACGACGTGTTCCTAGAGCACAAGAATACACTTCCCGAGTACAGCCTACAGCAGGTGGGTGTACACAGCTGTCCCGCTTCCTCGATATATCATCGGTTCGCTCTTGCATATAATGCCGCTAAGTACACGTACTATGCGGCGCCGAATTACGCGGCCTCCGAGACGATAAAAACGTCTATTAAAGCATTTAATCCGGCGAGACCATCGGACGTTGGAATTTATCAATCTCTTTGCTGTCATAACGGTAATCTCGGTAATCACTTAAATACTAACTTAATAAGTGACACCTTAATTTTCAACACACACACACACACACACATATATATATATATACAGATGCACGTTACGTTCATGAATAATGTACAAGATATTTCATGGTTCTCTGTCTCTCACCGTAATTTTTAATTTGACAGTTAGCACGTGTGACGCTTCATCGCAAAATTTATCAAGAATTGCGTCACGATCATCGACACGATCCCTCCGACCTTTCTAGTCTAAATATAACAGCTTGGCAATTAATTTAAATCGTTGAATTAAATCCCCTTTCGGAATTAAACAGGAATACTTCCACCATCTCTCTTTACATTCTTGAATTTTAACGCGCTAAACTCCACCCTCATTTTCAGTATTGTGCGTATCCCTTAATTAAATTTCGCTGTAAATTTTATTTAAGTAAGGACCGGCTCTCTATAGAAAGAGAGGGGTAAGAGACGCGCGCAGGTACGGGGGCGAGAATCTCTGCGAGCGAAAAGGAATAATTCCAAAGCATTTCGTTGGTGACATTAGCGCGAATTTAATTAGCCTCCTTTCGTTCGCCCTGTGGGATTTCAGTTGGACTTCCCCAATGTGGAGATCACGAATATAAGTGTACAGACTCCGAATCTGCCGGCGAATCTGCTTTCGACTTTCTGGACTAAGAGCGACGTCGATCTGTCCCGCGGTCTGGACTTTACACCGCGCGGTCCCGTGCTCGCCAGATTCACTCATCTGAATCATGCCGACTTCACCTACAGGATCGTCGCTAATAATCGCAATAATGCACCGCGCAGAGGCACCGTTCGTATATTCATCGCGCCCAGACAGGACGAGCGCGGGCTGCCGTACGTGTACAGGGATCAGAAGGAACTCATGATCGAGATGGACAAGTTCACCGTGTTATGTAAGTCGTTCATTTATTTCGATGTTTCCGTTGCATTCGTATTTTTCCGCAAGGTTCCGTTTAGAGAGTTCCCGAATGAGACAATATACGATCGTTCGTTATCGCACAGATCGATAATATAAATTGACTTATCATAAATTACGCGTATATATTGTAATAATTATATCGCTTCGCAATTTATGATTTATTTTTCGACGTGAAACAATCGGGACAATCAGATACGCATGAAAATTTTACGCATTTAGCGTAATATTATGAATTTTTCCATTTCACGTTATTATTTTTTTCACCACTAAATCAACACAGACGCGCGCTACTTAGCTAATTACCATTCAACGGAAAGAATCTCAGTTCGTGTAATTAAATAGGCGTCAGACTGAAATTCTCTATCAGACTAAAAACTCGTTTCTTTTTTCTTCGTCTTCTTTAATACTTTAATACTTCCTCTTCTTTAACACGCAAACTTTGATGAATAGAATTCTGTCAGAATTCGTGTAATGTTTTGACAGCCGCAATCGACACGCGTAAAGCAAACCGTAACGCCAATCAGCATTATGGAAAAGCGACAATAATGATTTTCATAATTCAGAATATCAACTTGACACATCTTTTTAAAAGAGGGAATTTTACATTCGCGCATAATTCTCGAAGAATCGGAGTGACATTCAAAGAATTATCGAAGATAATCAATAGAATGAAAAACACGGTTTTATTTATATACGAGTTAAATATTTGACTTCATCGCATTCAATGAAGACAAATCATTTACCAACCAAACGATCGCGGTCTTTGTCTATGATCCTTCGCCAACATTCTGCTGGTATTCGTACACCTCCATCGTAGAAGATAGCCGGTTAATCGTCGAGAAAGGTAGTAAATGGAACTTAAACCGTATTTGACTGCCATAATAGGTTTATTACCTTAAGAGAATGTCCGGTCGCACGCCGGAAACGGTGCGTCGGCCGCGCTCTATTTCACGATTTTCGTTCGTTCGCGTCCAGTGAGACCAGGAGAAAACACCATCGAGCGCCGATCGACGGAGTCCTCGGTGACTATACCGTTCGAGAGGACGTTCCGCAACCTCGAGGAGAACAGACCGATCGGCGGCGATACCTTGGACCAGTACAACTTCTGCGGCTGCGGCTGGCCGCAGCACATGCTGGTACCTAAGGGAACGAAGGCGGGATTCCCGATGGACCTCTTCATCATGATATCCGATTACACCGGTGACGCGGTGAGTACTTTTTATACTTATCAAGCTCTTCTCTAGTGGCGCTTAAGAGCTTACGGTGTGTCAGATGATGGAAACCTTTCCTCGTCCTTCCTTCCCTTCCTTTTTTTCTCTCCCCCTCCCCCTCCTCCAACGACGGCGTTCCGGTACACGGGAAGGCATTCACCCGTTAGGTGCTCCGAATAAAAAACGAGGAGCACGCGAAAGAAAAATTGCTCTACCATCCCGCGGTGTCGTGTGTAGGTGGAGCAGGAGGAGTCGACCGGATGCAAGGACGCGGTGAGCTTCTGCGGGCTGCGGGACCGCAAATATCCGGACGCGCGGCCCATGGGCTATCCGTTCGATCGTAGACCGCGTGCGGGTGTCGAGACCCTGGCCCAATTCCTCACCGGCAACATGGCGGTCGTGGAGATCAACATCCGCCACACGGACACGGTGTTGCCGCGGGCGCGTTCCGGAAGCATGAGCAACACCCTCACCTTCGCCTAATGATTGACCGACCGATCGCGGCGGACCGCTCGCTCACGCGTCTCCGGAGAATTCCAACGGCGATCCCTGCCGCATTCCCGCGATCCTGTAATATCCGCCGGAGAATCGCGACTGATTGCGTGGAAACGAGGACGCGCGCGACACGGTCCCATCTAGTCTATATCCTTGGAGAGAGTGAGAGGGAGGGAAAAAGGTCGAAGAGCGTGACGGGAAGGGGAGCGGGCGAAACGCTATTTCCATATCGCGATGACGGAAGATTATCCGCGGGACTCCTCGCGCAGGAACGCGCGAGCTTACGCGTGTTAATCGCTGAAACTTCGACATGGTGACCCACCGTCTGGCGCGATGATGAGCGCGGAATCGCCGTCGCGGAATCGTGTCGTAGAACTCAGCGTCTCTTCGCTCTCTTCATCAAATTTCTTTATTATTATTATTATTATTATTATATATATATATATATATATATATATATATATGTGTATATATATATTCACGTGTTTTCCTCCGGCGGATTTAATAGCTGTTCCCATACGAAAATTGCGCTTTGCGCGATACCTGTATAAATTAGAGGCAATTTCAACTTTACGAGCGCGGCCTTCAGACACAACGTATTAATTAAGCGTTCGAATGCGATTTTCATTTCGGGCTTGATGAGTCTTTCGCAGATTTTGCGAGAGCCACGCATGCGTATTTCATTAAATGGCTTTATAAGAATCGTTATATTTGCGATTTCACAATTCGCGCATTTATACGAGCAATAAGTACCGCTTAACATATGCATTTCCGCGTAAAAACAGGAACAGAGAGACGTCTCACGGACGCCCAAGCAAAGCTTTTCCCGCCTCCTTTCTCTCGTTTCACCCGCATTACGGGAACTAGATTGTAGAAAGCAGCAAATGTAAAATGCAAAAAAAGATAAAAAATAAAGTCAGACTATGCAAATTAGATGTGCACTTCCCTTTTTTTAAACCCTCTCATCGCATTACCGACGTTGAAAGTGGGCGACGACTCTTCGGATGTACATACGAGAACGTTGATCCATGAAGAGTTCGAACAATTCAGCAAAGTAATTTAAATTCTATTCGTTTCAAGCTCGTCAATGTCGCGAATAATTTTCATAACGTTAATTCGGACGAGAGACGTGTATGTGTATGTGTGTGTATGTGTGTGTGCGCGTCGTGTACGAATATATATATCGCAACTTTTTATGAAAAACATTTTCCAAAATATATTTTCGTAATTTCGCTAATGCGTTTGTTTTCATCGACATGTGAAAATTAATACGTACTAACGAAAGAGTTGAATATAACGAGATTTACATCTTTCAGGTTGTAATTAACATTGTTTGGTCAAGCTAACTACCGTGTGTATCAACTGGCAGTCAGAGCGTTCTCATATACACACATATATGTATCCAAAATGTTGCTCGCTTTCCACACCGGGGTCCTGTTCTCTCCCCTAAATGCATTTATCACGCGTTTGTTTCTGCTAGTTCGCAGCTAGACGGACGTGGATTTATTCCTACGAGGGGTAGAAATAGGGACAGGCAGACGAAGATAGATACACGTTTACGACCGTCGCTTAAGCGTCGTCCTACCCTCCCCCCGTTCCCCCTAATATCACTCGCGGTTATTCAGGGATTCCGTTTCGCGAGAGAGTATTTGAACGTTTAATATACCGCGCCTGAAGACAGCGATCGAAGGAATTATTTGTCGCCTATGCTGCACCACACAATTGCGGCAATATATTGCGCGAGAAACTTGAGACAATGAGAGAATAGACACATTGTATGCCCGTTGGCACGTCGAAGCGGACTTTATCGACGCTTTCGGGCACCCAGACATTTCGTCGAAAGTGTGAGAGAAGTCGTTTGACACAAGCGTCTTATTTTTAGCGGTTGTAAGATATTTTATTCAGATTCTTAAGTTCGTTTCTTATATCCAAATAAAATTTCATGCCACCGATATAGCTAAACTTTTCATAGCGTACATATGTGGTATGTATCTGTGTGTGCGTGCGTGCGTGCGTGCGTGCGTGCGTGCGTGCGTGCGTGTACACGTTACAAGCGTTTACACGTTTCTGTTCGCGCACGAGTGCAAAAACACGAATCGAGTTACGTACAGAATGGAAATAAAACGTCTCTCTCTCTGTCTCTCTCTCTTTCTCTCTCGCTCTTTCTCTCATGTTTTGTTGTATGGGTGGGTGGATAGGTAAGTGGAGAAAGAAGTTAATTTAACATCAATGTCTTCGCAGTTTCGCTTCTCTTCGACTCGAGCTACGAGAGAGGGTGAAGAGTTCGTCTCTTCTGTATTTTGTCATGTGTCGAATGTAATTTAAAGGACACTATTATGCTTTCGTCTGACTGTTGTTTTTGAACTTTCCGCCATGATGTATGCGTACAAGTTCGAAGGTGGGAAAGAGGAAGTCGAAGGTACACAGAGCAAACGGTTGCGATAATGAAGTCACGACGTGGAGATGGAAGAGAGATGGAGTGGAAGTATAAGCGAACATGGCGGATACATTTCAGCTTTAATGACAAAATCAAGTCGGGAAACATTATTTCAGCGTTACAAGCGTTTACACGTTTCTGTTCGCGCACGAGTGCAAAAACACGAATCGAGTTACGTACAGAATGGAAATAAAACGTCTCTCTCTCTTTCTCTCTCGCTCTTTCTCTCATGTTTTTTACTCATTTCTCTTCGAACATTATGGTAAGTAAATAAGCGTTCAAGATCCTGAATAGGTAGTTACGTGAAATTTACACGTTGAATTAATATATCAGGAGAGAAAAGATCGTCGTCACGTAGCTCTCGCTTTGAGAGCGAGGTCGATACGTCGGCAAAAAGCAACAACGAGCCCGGTGACTGAAACTCGTTAGAAGAGTCATAAGTAAACGGGCGTATTTTGTGCACTTACACGCTCGCGCATTTACATTCTGTAATAATCTCCTCTTTATCTTTGTAACTTCCAACAGAGTTATTCGCCGTGGTTCGCGTCGGCTTGCTGAAATGAACTTCGGAGGAGAGTGGCGAAAATGTAGAGACCGATATCTGGATACAATAAAGCGTCGTAAGTTCTGAATACATGTCATCTACATACGTGCGTATATCCACGCGCGCCGCACATATGTACAGCGCGATGTAACCGATCCTGTGATCTACGTGCATAATATAGGGATCGTTAGGGTAAATAATCCCAGGGTTAAAAGCAGCTCTTACTACGAACGGCCATTTCCTTTATTCAGGGAGATTTCGCGCGAGACGGGTTACGTTTATGAGGTATATAAAACTAGAGTGCGGGCGTCTATGAAACGGCTACGGGCGTAGTTGCGTCAAGTATACGTCTCATTTCGTAAAGGGAAGAGAAGATACGTCTCTCGTCCTTTGACTTCGAACCGGTATAGTCGGTTAATTTGTACCATTTACGGTATAACTACGATTCCTGTACATTAAATTCCATTCGTAAAAAAAGTCGCTTCAGCGCTATTACATTCTCCTTTGCGTCGAGAGAAAGAGAGAGAGAGAGAGAGAGTAATAAACTCACAAGATTATTTTTAGAAGGAATAAAATAACGTTACACGTAACGAAGCCGTCATTTTGTCAGAAAAATAAAACATCTACGAAATCATTGCTTTTCTCACAATGGTACGACTATTTTCCCAGTTTGACGCTAATATATAATAATAATTAATCGATTTACTCTCATATTACCGCTGAGAAGATTCGTGCTTAATTGCCGATGTTATGTGTCCTGCCCATCTAATTTCGTCGTATCGATCATCGCGCGCGTGCTTCTAAATGGAGAGGCAGGAAGGACCAGTAAAGGCGATCACATTATACCTCTTGTTATTCCGGCGAACATCAGGCTGCTTCCTTCCCTGTCGCGAACGTACCTTAATTCGGAGCAATTAGCGGTGCATGCTGTGTGTGCGCACAGGTTGTAACCGCATGTATGCTAATGGTGAGTTAATCGGCCATTAAGTCTTATCATACTCGAGGGATTATCCCCGCAAATAACAGCGTTTTAACGCTGGATACTTGCACCACGATGAAATAATATTGTACTGTTTAGCCTGTTTTACGCAATTAATAATAATTATTGACGCGGCATGTTGTAGGCTTTTACATTTATATGTATGTACACATAATTGTGCCATTGCCGTTTGCGGATGTAATTAACGTCATTACATTCAACGGATAATTATCATTCGTGCATGCGTTCCGCCGTCGGTGAGAAGAGCACTTGGATCGAAATGCCATGACTTTAATCGCCCTGATACGCCGTGTCCAATTACGTTGTTCGCTTCCGTTAATTTTTACGACCATCATATGTCTCTTATGAAATTAAATCTGTCTTTTATGAAATCCATACTTTTTCTCCCGACATAAATGTTCTTCTGGGAAAGTAGGAAAAACATGGCTATTTCTTTCTCCACAACCTACGCTAATCTAATTAATAATCATAATCGGACGCTGGTATTATGTACTTATAACGTTCGCATGCACGCGGCACACCTTTCGGCTACACGCACAGCATACACGAGCTTATAGACGAGTACTTGTTAAGTCTGACGATGCCGGAGGAGAGCAAGCAACCAAAACCAGCCCGGGTTTACCATCAGGCTCAAGCCTCGCTCGTGTTTGCAAAAGTCACGTCAAGTGCATCAGACACCCGGTGCGGCAATAATTGTTCCATAATGTTCTCGTAGCCTGGGGCAACATTAGCGTGGTGTGGAAATTACGCGACGCGTGTACGAATCGATAGTGGATAAAATTTTCACGTTGAATCCGCACGTCGTCGACGTGGGCTTCACCTCCCAGTCTTGACGTAATTAATGTTTCGAGTAATATTGTTACTTTGATAGCCGGGTTCTCTAATGGACCTCGGCTATTACTTCTCGCAGTCTAGCTTCTTTTGGGAATTACGATTTCCCAGCTGCATTAGACAAGATAAAAGTGACGTTTTCGCGTACTGATACATTCCGTTGCCCGGCGAGAACGAGCACGGACCGTTTTGTTTTCGCGAAAATAGGGAGGGAATGACAATGAGGGGTGAAAACGTCTTAGGTTCTCCGAGGAACGCTTAATCTTATTTACGAAAAGCTCATTAAAATTACTGATTACGCTCGCAGCCTTCCAAAGAATTTCTGAACAGGATTATCACCCTGTTTATCAAACACTACTATCATTCCTTGTCTGATATAATGATATGCAACGCGATAGTTCGAAGTTTATATACTTTCCATGTTACAATATCGACCGTGTTTAGGCGCTCTCGCGCGCGTGAGATCGATAATTCCTCTATTTCACATCGAGTGATTCTACGCGCGAAAACTTCTACGCGGTAAATGATATTTACTTAGAGCCGAGCATACGGAATGTAATTACGTCTATCATTGAATGTTACAACATTGCTCTACCATCCGTCTAATGTTCCGCTAAGTGAAAGCGAATTTTCTTAAAATTTTAGGTAAGTATTAATCTTAGCAGAACAAAACCGTAAAACAGAAATATATAACGCTTCATCGTTTCAATTGTTTCCGATAATTGTACCGAGTAAGACATACCTTTGTGCATTTTTCGATGGTAAAATATAATCATTTCGTGCTTCTTTTTGATTTATTAGTCGTATTTAATGATAAAATTATTAATTATGAAATCATTAATTATAAATATATGTAACTAATTATATATGGATCTCTTCAGCATATATATCTCATTATTTTCGCATCCACTGTCTGCCTTTAATCATTACTCGCTGCGAGCTATTTTATGTTGCTTTGTGTTCGTTATAAACTATGCGAATAATAATTATATTCCCCATGAGCTTGACGACTCGATCCCGATCCCATTCAGTCGAAAGCGAATAGTCACGTTGGCACGTTAATCGTTAAACTCCGGTTGGTATCCGCATAGTTTCTGGGCGCCAATATAACTTGAAGATTT